ACCGCGATCCGACCCCTGTGACCCAACCGGATCACAGGGCCAGCCCGAGAAGTTGTCGAACCTAGGTTCGACAATTAGGTTAGTTCTCGAACGCATGAGATCGCATAGACTGCACTACCTCGGAGCTGATGCAGTTCATGCGTTCGAGAACTAACCTAACCTAGGTTCGAGAACCTCACCCGAGTGCTCTCCCTCTCATTTTATCTTGCTTTCCTATTTCTGTCACTCTAACGCTGCGCTTCATGTGCATTATGCGTGGAAACGGAACGCACCCTTTAATAAACAATAACTGACGCTTAATGTGACAATAGGTTGAGTTAGGTTTTTGGGAGTTTAGTTTTTAGGGGGGGTGCGGGGGGCGCAGCCCCCTTCTAGTCGTTCGAGATTGCAGTACTTACTAACGAAAGGCTGTCGTATCATTTTCGGAGTGACAGATTTCCTAACATAGTGAGCTTTTAACTTTAACGCTATCTCGCTTCGCGGAGGAGAGTGACGATTTTGTTAAAGGAAAAAGTTATTTCATTTTAAAAAACGCGTCAATTGAGCCTAGTTTCGTCAAAATCGGAGGTGGTGATGCTAAACTTCATTACCATTAACTAATTACCATTAACAGAACATTACATGGATGTTATTACTTTAATATTCTAACATGTTCACAGATAAGAAATGGATTTAACCACCATGAATGGTGGAATTTACTTTTTAATCATCCATCAAATGAGGAAGAAGACAAAGATTATCTTCAACTGCAAAGACAATTTCATCCCAGGAATCAGAATTTTTTTGAAAATGTCGTTTTATTATATCCTGTTACAGGTAAGACTTTTGCTATATTATACCTCTCAGCAAACTGGAACCGTATTTACATACCAAGAATATAATAGCTAATAGAATTAATAGAATATGTAATGTCAGGACAATCATGTAATATGTATGTAACAGATAACAGTTACATAATTGTACAACAAACCACATAATTGTGCTGATATTACATATCGATGTTATATTACTGACACATATAGTTCTGGTTTGCTAGGCGTATTGTTACAACTTGTATAAGTGTTTTTGTATATTAATTGTAATATAGAATATCATAATTGTTTGAACAGATTTCAAGTCACACTTTTGATTAGAAAAGTATATATACGAAAGATTGGTACAAGACCTTGGACCATGTCTGCATCATGAAGGTGGTGCTGAAAAAATATCTCCTGCTAAACAAATAGCTATTGCCTTGTGGTACTTTGGTAATCAAGAAGTTTATAAGTTAGTATATGTTATTTCCATATAAAAGATCCATCTCATACAGCACATAAGATTAGAGAAAGTTTTCAGGAAGATTTAGATGTTTTTGAAAGTTTTCTGAAAGCTTTAACACCTTTCTAAAAGCTTTCTAACACTTTCTTTGCTGTGTGAGATGTTACTCTTTTGGCCAGAAAATTAATTTCTCCTTTTATTTTCTTTATGTTAATTTCGATTTTTTACTGAGTTTTGGACATTTGTTCAACAGAAATGTATAGCTTTTAGGTAGAAATAATGTAGCAATGTAAGATTATTTTTGAAATTATTAATCAACGACTCCAGTTTTTACAATAGAAACTGCCATTGGTCAATATTTTTCTTGCTGAGACATGAAGACATTTTCTAAATACTTTATTATGGGTGTATATCAGTTGGACACGGGACAATTGGACACAGTCCAATCACAAGTCGCTGTTCCAAGGGACCCTACAAATGTCTCTAATCACATGGTGCTGTGATTGGCTGTGTCCAAATGCACCGTGTCCAAGTGCACCGCTTCTCTTTATTATTACTATGTCAATCTGGAATATCGTTTCATGTTGAATCTTGTTTTTAATTAGAATCACTTAAACTTGCATTGTCAGTGATGTATTAAGATTATCATAATTACTGTTGTTTTTTAAATTTGTATGTGTGTGTGTGTGTGTGCAGTTACAAATTTTAATTTCAATTAAAACGTTGATTTTTAATTAATATGTATATATAAACATTTTTTATATTTCAGGTCTATAGCAGACAGATTTGGAGTATCTATGAGCACTGTTTGGAGAACTGTATATGAAGTTTCAATGGTATTAGTTCAAGATGCTTATAGATATATCAAATGGACGTCATGAAATGTTTAATTTGGAAACACAATTTCGTGCATTACATAGATTTCCTGGAGTGATTGGAGCAATCGATGGTTCGCACATAAATATCAGTGCACCAATAGAAACTCCAGATAATTATATTAATCAAAAAGGCCATCATTTAATAGTGTTACAAGGGATTTGTGATTATACTTTAAAATTCAGAGATGTTTACACGGGACTTTGTGGTAGTGTTCACAATGCAAGAGTCTGGCGTTTGAGTAATGTTAAAGAATTAATAACACAGGATCAAGATAGATTCTTTGCAAATCAATACCATCTTTTGGCTAATTTAGCATATCCATTATCTAATTATATGTTAACTCCTTTTCGCGATAATGGTCATTTAAATCATCAACAAAGACATTATAACACAAAGTTAGCTAAGACACATGTAGTTATTGAACGCGCTTTTGGGATGTTAAAAGGGAGATTTAGAAAATTAAAATATATTTATATGTATAACACAGAGATGATACCCTTGGTCATTCAGGAGCGGTGCACTTGGACACGGTGCATTTGGACACAGCCAATCACAGCACCGTATGATTAGAGACATTTGTAGAGTCCTTGGAACAGCGACTTGTGATTGGACTGTGTCCAATTGCCCTGTGTCCAACTGATATACACCCGGTTATTCTCACATGTTGCATTTTACATAATATATGTATAGACAACAAAGATAAACATAACGAAGATGAATATAATGAAGATGAACATGATGAAGACGAACCTATGGGTGTACAAATTAATAATGACATTGATAGAATAATGAAAAGAGAAATTATTTCTAATTTATTGTAACAATTGAAATAAAATTAATTTGGATACAAATGTTTGTTATATTTCTGAAATTTTAGCAGAGTTTTATTTTTATCCAATGTGAATAAACTTGTTCTAACATTATATTGATAAGACATCTGTTTACAATGTATTATTAAATAAATTATATTTACTTCTTTACATTTATATATATATATATATATATATATATATATATATATTATACATATAAGCGTGTGTGTGTGTGTGTGTCTGTTTATATATGTATATACGTACTTAAAATATCCATTTCTTTCCTTGATTTTTCACTGCTTATTTTTTGCGAAATTCAGCCAAAATCTACAAATATATACACATATACAATAAAAAAAATAATAAAATACAAACCACACGCTAAAAAAATGTGGATATAATTGTGAGATTTTACGAAATTATTACCTGATGTCAAATATGCGTTCTTTAGTTCTAGCTCGTTCCTATAGTAAGGCATTGAATTAAAAGTAAGAAGTTGTCATAAACTACAAAAGTACTAGGTGGTCGTGCCTATCATAATTTTCGGCCCTAGTGGAACTAACTCTAAGGGTGCCGTCCCATTGAGCACGGATCGGATTTCTTACTATAATGAGCGTTCCGTTCTCTAGTTCCGTTCCGTAAAAGTTTCCTCTACCAGTCCCATGTAGCAAAAACGGAACGGAATGGCGCGTCGGTCGCAAATAAATATGATTAATTCGTCAATATTTCGTTATTTTGACGCGACAGAATTAATTATATACATAATTTATGCAATTATCTTGCCGATAACATTGTCATGAATATTCTGAAATATTTAATTGAAGAGTGAAATATATTTTATAACTAGAAATCCGTTCCGTTTTTGCTACATGGGACTGGTAGAGGAAACTTTTACGGAACGGAACTAGAGAACGGAACGCTCATTATAGTAAGAAATTCGATCCGGCGTTCCGATCCGTGCTCAATGGGACGGCACCCTAACTCTGGGGTGCGTTCAGATTCTTCATCCGGGTGCACTCTATTACTAGAAACACTATAGTATACGTTACATATATTATAGCACTTCTAGTAATAGAATACACTCGGGTGTGGAATCTGACGCAGCCTTAATTGTCGTAAACACCCACTGTCTAATTCTTTTTATTACTTCTACCAGAGAGAAACCTAAAAGCGGCCACGTCGTACGTTTTGGCCGACAACGATTTTCACGCTGTTCGATGCGTTATCTGCACCCATTTTTTAAAACTACGTTTTAGGAACTACGTTCCCTACGCTCATTTTCAGACGCTGCCGGTAAAGTGTCAATTTGTTGCGTGTCCATTCTATGCCCATTTTCTAACGATTTGTGTCCGTGTTAAGCGCATAATTGCATGGTTAAGAACATGGACAGTCCATGTTTTCAATCACGCAATTATGCGTTTAATACGGACATGAATCGCCAGAAAATAGGCATAGAATGTACACGCAACAAATCGATACTTTACCGGCAGCGTTTGAAAATGGGAGTAGGGAACGTAGTTCCACTTAAAAAATGGGTGCAGATCGCGTATCGAACAGCATGAAAATCGGTGTCGGTCAAAACGTATGGCGTGGCCGCTCTCAGGTTTCTCTCTGCTTCTACTATACTATTAAGGTGCCTTTACATGGAAGCATCGAGTGTCGTGCATTAAAGCGGTAGCCAATCAACGTGCCACTTTCCGCAAGAACTACAAGTATATTTCTGGAACCTGATACGTTGATTGGTTAACGCTTTAACGCTCGACGCTGGAACGCTCCCATGTATTGGCACCTTTACGTCTTTCCAATACGTATCACCATGTGATATGCGGATATTAGAAACGTTTACGTTGCTAACTCTGTTTTGCTCTACTGAGTTCCTTCTTTTGCCGTTGTTGGTTCTGGCGGCGCTACAGATGTTGACAAATACTTAGGGTCGTGGCACACAGAAAACTTAAGCAGTAAGCAAATTAACCAATCACAGTCATTCATTTTTCTTACGGTCCAAGAATCAACGACTGTGATTGGCTGATTTGCTTACTGCTTACGTCTTACTGCTTAAGTTTTTCTATGTGCCACTAGCTTTAGAATCGCTGTTAGCAGTCCATGGTTATAAAGTCAAAGTTATATACTGTATTTGAGGTCTCTAACAAAAGAATTAATTAAAGGAAAGATAATTTGGAAAATATGAATAATCGCAACGTGGAGATAAAAGGAAAGCTTCATGATATTGATTATGCTATTTCAAAAGCCAAAGAGTTGAGTGGTTCCAATGAAGCAATTATAATAAAACAACATGATACTTTCTTTAACGCAATAGAGGGACGATTAAAGATACGAAAATTCGATGTAAGTATAATTAATTTTTTAATTAATATATACCCCACATAGCACAAACAGTGACATTACAATAACGTTATTCTGTGACAATAAACTATGTCGCAATGAAGTCACAGCAAAGTCACGGTGACGTACGAATGTCATCTTTGTCACATGTGTAATATCATTGTGACATTATTATGATATGAAGAAAAATATCACAGTGATGTATTTATAACAATAACCCAGGTAGAACACAAAGTCATACAAAAGTCAAAATGACATCAACTGATATAAAAGTGATATCATTTTGACGTCAAACGATACCATTTTCATGACAATTTCATGATATTGATGTCAAAATGATATCATCTTGACATCAAATTAACTTTGTATTCTACCTGAGAACGTATGATATTGGTTAAAAAAAATATATTTTGCAGAAACGATTGCAACTATCCAGGTAACCAAATCTGCACGAACAGATTTTGAGCAGAGCTTGCTATCAATTTTTGATGGTAAATAGATAACAAATTTGATGCAGAATCTGTTATATCAAATCTTGCTGCCAAATTGCCGCCAGATATGCGTCAGAGCTTGTTGTCGGATAATTGCTGCAGATTTGCAGCAAAAACAGTGCAGAGCTTGTAGCGATTTGACAGCAGATTGGTGGTAGAAACCGCGCAGATCTTTCTGAGCCTTGCGACCTTGCTAGTTTTGCGCGGTTTTTGCTGTAAATTTGGTTTGCCAATTGCCCGACAGCAAGATCTGTAGTCAAAACCGTAGCCTAATGTAGACACAGATGGCTATGGTTTTGCTGTGGGTTTTTGATCAAATTTGCTGCCAACCTGCACGCAGTCTGCGCTCAATTTGCTTACTGGGTAGTCAGCTTATGTTGATTTTAAATATAATTTAATTTTTTTATTTAATTTCTCACTATTTTCACCTAAAATTTACTCAGTACTGGTCGCCCAGGTAGAACACAGAAGTCATGATGACATCAGCAGAACGTCATTATGACATAATTTGTCACTTAAATGTCATTGATAGTAAATGACGCAAAAATGACATAAAAGTGATAAAGATAGTTATATGTTCTATTATAAGTAAAAGTGCTTTAAAAGAATCTCTTTAGTTTCTGAAATGTTTATATTGCTTTAATATCTTGTTGCAATTGTATATATAGTAGAATAAACACATCTCAATAATAAGGGTTGGGTAACCAAGATAGCCAAGCCTGCTAAAGTCAAGCTTTGCTAAATGTATGCTGCATGCTATGCTGGCATAATTTTGGCAGTAGCAAAGCATGATCTGTCATATCAGAGAGTACACGTAGAAATGAAACAGAAATCTAACAGATCTGCGTCATGATATGATAGTAAAAATACTGCAAGAATAAGGTACAATATGTCAACACAGGAAAAGAAAAATTTAATCATTGAATGCTTATATAATATGTCGACAAGAAGCAGCATAAAATCGAATATGGAATAACGTCACTTATGTGAGCAGGAAGTCGTTAAAAATGAAGTTAACTAGGTGGCATTCTGAGAACGCAGAAACGCAGCAGAAATCGATCATGACGTGCTATTCGAAATTGACAGTAGAAACACAGCAGAAATCGATCACGACATGCCGCGCGAACGTAATAGCAGAAGCGCAACAGAAATTTATCATGACGTGCAGCAACGGTAGATATGAGGCAGAAATGCAGCACAAAATTTATAACATATATGTTATATTATAATATAATATTAGATAAATTAAATAATAAAATTATGATAAAATTATACAGCATATAAAATTATTTGTATGACATTTATATATACATAATAAATTTCCCAAAACAACTCAACAAACACAAAATAACAGTAACATAATTATGCGTTATAATTTTCCTCTCAACCATGTAACTGTTTACACCCCAATGAAAAATTTTTCATATATAATTATATAAAATTATATAAAATTATATATAATTATATATCATTATGTATTATTATATATCAAATTTGTCCATTCATGTTCATACATCCTACTTATATATAATTATATATAATTATATATAATTATGCATAATTATATATATAAATTCATATATAATTTTAAATAATTACGCATAAATTTATATGTAATTATACATAATTGTATATAATTTCATATGATTATATGTAATTATACATAATTATACATAATTATATATAATTATGTATGGACAAATTTCATACAAAATTTTGCATGAAAAATTTTTCATCGGGACGGGCGAGTGGAAAATTATAACTAAATTTTATTATTATTATTTTGATTTTGCCAGGAATTTATTCAACAAATTTATTGTATATCTTTGTAGTATCTTCTTTTAATTCATTAATTAATAATTAAGTCGGTTGTTAAGGGAATACTGCAAACAAATTTTAATTTTGTGCTGCACCCTGATGGAAAAAATTTGCTGAAAATGCAATGAAATCGTCGAAATGAGAAATGAAAGTTACTGAAAAGTTGCTGAAAATATTTTATTATGAATCATGATTTTCATTATGAATTGTGGTGAAAAGTGTGGAAAAACAATGAATTTTTAATTAATATTGATGAAAAGTAATGAAAAAATATTAAAATATTTAATGAAATATTTAATGAAAGGACCCTACACCTTATGGAAAATGGGTCCCGGTAGATTTTGCTGAAACTTTGAAAATTTGTAGTTTACGTGATCCTGATGAAAAGTTCTCATTGCCTCAACTTGATTCATTGAGCCGTATGAGTCCTAGGAACCGTCGAAAGTAGGAAATAAGCGACTGCCATCGCCACTGTATAGGTAACCATCTGGTAATTTCTATCCCTTCCCTACCCTCTTCCCATTTCTCTTTCTCTCTTCCCCTCTCCCTTCCCCTCTCTTTCTCCTCTCTCTTCTTCTTTAATTAGTTTCCGTTATTTTATGTTAGCTTGCTTTCATTTACATTACTTTGCGTGATTTGTCCAAATACCTTTTCTTGCGATGAAGGAGTGAGGATTTAACGTTACATCAGATCCAATTGGATCATCCGGATTACAAGAATCTGAATGTCACTTTAAAAGGTTTTACCGTCGACATTAGCCAATGTGCACCACGGGGAGGTTGCGCGATCGGAATTTTGCATATTATGTGGCCCTGAAAAGGGCCATTTGTGTGAAGGTGTATGTGTGCGTGTGCGTGTGTGCGTGTGCACATTGGGTAACACTAATGTCGACGGTAAAACCTTTTAAAGTGACATTCAGATTCTTGTAATCCGGATGATCCAATTGGATCTGATATAACGTTAAATCCTCACTCCTTCATCGCAAGAAAAGGTATTTGGACAAATCACGCAAAGTAATGTAAATAAAAGCAAGCTAACATAAAATAACGGAAACTAATTAAAGAAGAAGAGAGAGGAGAAAGAGAGGGGAAGGGAGAGGGGAAGAGAGAAAGAGAAATGGGAAGAGGGTAGGGAAGGGATAGAAATTACCAGATGGTTACCTATACAGTGGCGATGGCAGTCGCTTATTTCCTACTTTCGACGGTTCCTAGGACTCATACGGCTCAATGAATCAAGTTGAGGCAATGAGAA